GTGCCAATTCCAATATCATCAAAATGTGTCGTTATTACAGTCTGAAGGTATAAGGTGTTCTGGCTAAAGGAGTTCCCAGATCACCAGAGTTTTCTCTCTGAGCTAAGAAACTTTGTGGCATTTAGATGCAGCTATCCTTATGTTTATATAAATATCCCTTTTTCTATTGAAATATCTAGTCTTCACTATCTTTGGGTGTTTTTTGTGTTTGTTTTTGGTTTTGGATTTGTTTGTTTTTTGATACTAGGGATTCAACTTACAGGCACTTAACCACTGAGCCAAATACCAAGTCATTTTGGGGGGCCAGGGGGTTTCTGGGGATTTAACTCAGGGGCACTCGACCACTGAGCCACATCCCCAGCCCTATTTGTTGCATTTCATTTAGAGACAGGGTCTCACTGAGTTGCTTATCACGTTGCCATTGCTGAAACTGGTTTTTTGAACTTGTACTTCTCCTGCTTAAGCCTCCTGAGACGCTGGGATTACAGGCATGAGCCACCATGCCTGGCCCCTGTCCTTTTTTTGTATTTTATTTAGAGAGAGGGTCTCACCAAGTTACTTAAGGTCTTGCTAAGTTGCTGAGGCTGCCTTTGAACTCATGATTCTCCTGCCTCAGCCTTCCCAGCCACCGGGATTACAGGTATACACCACCACACCCAGCAAGTTTCTTGTGTTTAATACCTGATATGACAAATGGTATTTTTACTAGTTGTAAAATTACCTGTTTTGTAAATGGAGTTCTTTGAGGAATAGGTTCATCGGCCTGATTAGATAAGGGAACAGGCTAGGACAGGCTAGGCTCAGCAACAGCTCTGCAGCTCGCTCTGGGATACCCAGGTTCCCTGGTCCATCTGGTCAGTGGAGATGGGGAGCCACTGGCCAGGGGAGCCTCTCAGGACAGAGGCTGGCTCGCTGAACTAAGAGAAGCCTGTTGTTCTCTCAATGTCTTGTGGCTACCACACCTCTCGCCTCAGCCTTGTGTCCTTAGTTTCTACTTCTCTGTTCCCAAACTGTTCCCTAGTTTAAATTCTCAGTATGAAATCCGCATAGCTCATCTTATCTCTTCCTGACAGTTACTTTTTTTGGCCAGCTTACAGCCTGCCTTAGGCTCAGAAGCCCAACCCTAGTCAGATGAATTGGGGATGAATGGGGAAGGCACTTTGGTCTTCATAATGTTGTCCCTTGACAGGGTTATGGAGGGCAGTGCCACTTAAAAGAGCATGAGATGCCATTAGTGACATATGCCTACCAGGGGCTTCTAGAACAGTCTCCTGGTCTCAATCAGTACTGAGTAAACACAACTATGTCCATTCTAGCTAAAGTTTCTGGAGTTTTCTAGATTCCAACTTTCCACTGAGGAATCATACTTCACAGCTGGGGTTCTGGTATAATTTATCTTCCCTTGTCAGCCTCCCAGTATTTTGACTTCTTTATTTTGCAATACGACAGTAAAACACTGCCATAGCCTCCTTATGTTTGTGGGGATGCCAAGTTTGTCAGCAACATGTGAATCACCTCCATCACCAAAGGCTGCTTCAGTGCTACCCAGACCTCGGAGTTCTACACAGACTCAGGCAGCACCGCCAGGGCTGGGAACCCTTCCTCACTGCAGGTCATCCTGGGACTGCCGACTAGCAGGCAGATCCCTTCTGCAACATCTCCACCAAGTGGCTGTCCAGCCTCTGCTCCCCAGTCTCCAGGGAGGAGCTTGCCAGCTGAAGGCAACACATTCCAATTCTAAATGCCTTACGACTGCACTTCTGGGGCTGGAGTGGTGGCTCGGTGGTAGAAAGCCTGCCTAGCATGTGTGAGGCACCGGGTTCACTTCTCAGCATCGCATATAAATAAATAAAATAAAGGTCCATCAACATCTAAAAAAATAATAAAAAAAAAAAAAAGACTGCACTTCCTGTTGAACTTAAACTTTTTGTCCCCTTAGCATCTACCCAGTGACCCTGGTTTGCTCCCCAAAGCCAATCAGAACCGATTCCAGGTAAGCGACTGAACACCATAAAGGTCTTGTGCTCCTGTGTCTGGCTGTGACTGAGCAGGTTGGCAATAATGCCCCTTGGATTTAAAAACAACACATTGAAGACTGCACCACCTACCTGAGGATAATGGGAGGAAACAGTACACGAGGCTCCCTGGCACACAGTAACATCCGTCGCTTTCCTGTCTTCTGCATGGCAACTGCCTCAAACATCCTCTCATCCAGAGCAGACATTTACAGCCTATTTAACTGTGCAAGGGGGGGGGGGGGTACACACACCCAGAATTCATTTCCATTTACTGATGAAGCTTCTTCTGTTGCACTTTCTATTTCTATTTTTTTACTTCATCCATCTAATCCATTGTTCATGTGGGGACAGATCACAACAAAGGTATCCTCTGTGTGAGCCAGGAAGGAGCCCCAATGACCCAGGTGACCTCCCCATGCAGGCACAGTTCCAGCTGCCATCCAAAGGTATTGCAGGGGAACTTCTGGAACCCACTCAATGATCTCCCACCATCACTTCTGGGGGAGGTCTACCTTCCTTTCCAGCCAACCCACCAGAGACCGCCTCCCCCTTGCAACTTGGCTCCCTCAATCCCCCTTCCTCCTGGGGGCCAAGGGAACATTAGCAGAGCAGGGAGAGCCAGGAGAGTGCCAGGTATGGCTCTTCTCAGTTACCAGTTCCTGCACTTGACAACACTACTGCCAGTGTAATAGTTAATTTGAATTGTCAACTTGATTGAATTAAGAGATGCCAATGATTAAGGGAGTTCTGAATTAGTCAATGAGGGTGTGTCTAGGAATGACTGGCATGTGGGATAACCAACTGAAGTGGAGACTCCCTAAGCGTGGGCAACACCATCCAATAGGATAATGGCTTGGATGGAATAAAAGTTAGATAACATGGGCTGGGGCTGTAGCTCAGTGACAAAGTGCTTGCCTAGCATGAGTGAGGAATTCGGTTCAATCCTCAGCACCACATAAAAATTAATAAAGGCATTCTGTCCATCTACAACTATAAAAAAAATTTTTAAGAAGTTGGAAGAACAAGGAAGCAGCAGCAGATGCAAGCTCAGTTCTTCTTGAATGGGCTCCTGATTACTGCTGCAATCAATGATCTGAGGATATCAGACTCGCTTCTTCACTCTTCCAAAGCAGACTCTGCCAATGATTCTCCAGAGAATTTCCAGAAGCCTTCAGTCTCAGACTAGGGTATAACTGTTGATCCCTCTTGTTCTGGGGCTTCACCCTCTTGGACTGCGCAGCTACTGGTTCTGCCAGCTCTCCAGCTTGCAGATGGCCATTGTGGACTGTCCAGCTTCTAACCAACCTAATAAATCCCCTTTTTATAATTAGACTTCCTGTTGATTCTATTCCCCTAGAGAACCCTGACTAATACAGCCAGGCAACACTGACCCAAGGTGATCTATTGCCTTCATTCCCCTAAGGGTCCCATGAAGGCCAGGACCAATGGCTTCACCTAAGATGATGCCTTGAGGTAGAAGGCTCAGAGTCAGTTCACCGGTTCAGCAGCATCACCAGGACCAAATCTTCCTCACTGGCCTTGCCTTTCATCTCCACATTCCCCCTCATGGTTACAGAATGGCAGCGAAAGCTCCAGCTATTCCTGCCTTATAGGGCATGTGCAAAGCCAGGAGGGGAAGGGTACGATCCTTGGAGAGGTACTTTAAGTAGACTCCAGTTGTGTATTCTGCAACGACAGAGGCCTTTCCTGGAATGTGCTCAGCCAGGGCGAGGCTAAAAACATATCAGAGCACAGCTGAGAGGACTTCCAGCCCTCAGAACGCTCCTTCCTTCACAGCCAGGTCTTTGAACCTCCAGCCGTCAGGAAAGGTACTATGGCATACATGTGGTTTAAATGTCAGGAATCTTGCATTTCCTCTATTCTGCCTGGTATGACTTGCCACAGGGCACACCATCTCCCAGTAATGGTGGAAAAACAGTGAATGTGGAAGAGGGTCTCATTTCTTAAATCTTTACTTGGTTTTACCTGTACTTGGTGGAGCTAAACGTTTGAGGAATTCTGAATGCCAGGACCTCAGAGTCTGAGGAGGTCCACCTGCCACACTTGGAGAACACAGAGGTCACGTCCTGGGCATCATGCTGTAGGAGAAAGATTTATTCAGATGTGTCAATGGAAATGACCAGTCTGTTCACCAAGGGGCCTGTTGAGGAGAATCACCCCCACATTGTATTCCTATTTTATTTATTTATTTAGCACTGTTGGAGATCAAACCCAGGGCCTCATACATTCATGCATGCTGGGCTAGTACTCGTATCATTGTGCTATCCACATTATTTCTTCTATAACTTTAAATTTTATCATGTTAGCACTGGCCCCTGGTTTCAGCACATACAGACACTTATGAATCCTATTTTTGACAGCCAACATAGCAGCTCTCATTCCCAGTCTTGTGTCATGAGCAAATTATCCTATTATCCTAGTAATGGACAAAAATTCAGATCATCTAGAGAAGGCACAATAACCTCTATAGAAAAATTGTTATTGTACCATTTACTTAACAAGCCACAATTTAAAATTTTTTTAATTTTAAAAAAGCAAGATCTTACAGAATTATAACACTTCTATGAAATGGTCTATTTTGCTCTGAGATTACAGGAACATTTGTGGAGCTAAAGGAGAGACTCCAGAAACTGCGAATTGTAAGAGTCAGGCACCTCTAGAAATCCACCAGGAATACATCAGAGGAGTGCTGAATACTCCCAACGCTGTTCAAAATCCTGCCTTTGCCCACCGTGACTTCACGGGTCCTTCTCCAAGTATACCCAGAAAAATTATAGGACTGGCTAGAGTGGAAGGTGAAAATGAGAGCCAGATACCAAGAATTACCCTCCCACCAAAGCTACATACCTCAGGGAGAATTCCCTCTCATAGGACCCAGGGTTTGGGGAAGGGGGTGAATGCAGTAGTCAACAGATGTCCACCACTCCTACCCCTCATCCCAAACACACACAGAGCTCTCAATACCTTCACAGCTTCTTTATTTCAGAGAATTTTACACACACTACATTTGCTTGCTTGCTTACTTGTCTGTTCCCCGCTTACAGAAGAGGAAGTCCATGAGGCCCAGGTCCAGCCCATCTAATCTCCATGGAATTGCAGGATTATCACAGTAGATGCTCAGTTCAAACATGTGGAATGAACGAATGACTACATGAATGTGTCCCCAGACAGCTCTCATTTAAATGAAAATTATCAAATGCTTCTATTTTTATCAGTTGAGTTAAAGATGCAACCATCTTTTTTATCAAATCTCCATTAAGGTAGTTTAGCATTTTTGTTATGATGTGTGACTGGGAGTTCAATTCTTTTCTGTGATAAGCACAGATTATTCAAGCCACCATTCAATATTCATTTTTCAGATATATGAAGGTTGTCTACTCAGATTCAAAGGTTTTCTTTAACTTGTCTTTTATCTAAATCAGTCAAGTCTTTTCTCATAAATGAGAATTATTAAATAAATGGCTGCTCTCATAAAATAAAGAAGCAACTAGCAGAAACTATCTGCAACTTCCATGAATAAGCTTTTCCTTAGTGCCTAAGATAATAAATACCATTTGCAAACCAAAACTATGTGCTGTGAGCTTTACAAATCGGTCCCCAGTCCCTGTTCAGTGTGTTGTTATCCCAATGCCACAGGAACCCAGTAAGTGAAGACTCAGAGGCAGCAAGTCACTGTCCCTGGCCTATTGACAAAGCAGAGCTCTGCACCCAGGTCAGGCCACACCAGTACTCACAATTAGTTATTTTATTACTAAGTCATTACCAGTTACTACAGTGCATCATGAATCCTCTCTGAATGTCATAGTTGATCAAATCTAAAATGCAATCAGTTGAAGTTAATGTATAACTGCATCAAATGTGCAATACTGCCAATTAAAGCTATGGAACACTTTCAATTGGAAAATATGTCAATTCCAGAAATGTTAAAATGTGTACATACATATATACACACCCATTCACACACACATGTACACATTATAGATTCAATGAAATGTAGCAATCTACTAGCCTAATAATCCAATAGCCAAATTATTCCTAAAAAATGTTATAAAATTAATTTTGCCATAAAGTACAAAAAAGAGAAAAATCTTAAGAATGAATTAAGCTACAGGAAACTTGCAAACATTTGTTAATACTCTTTAAGAATTGTTTCTCCTGATCTAAAGCAGTAAACCATATAGTTTATAATGTAAAAAGCTGTTAACATTTTTCCTACCAACAAACATGACCATTGCTTATTAATATTTTCATGCATCCAAGTACACAAAAAGGCAGTAAGTACATTTTTTAGAATATTCCATTAAAAGTGGATTTTAAGTCTACCTGTTTTTCTTAACTTCTATTTGTTTTATGTAAAAGCTAAGGAAAATAATACGAATTTCTCATTCCATACCAAAGAACAATATGCTCTGTTGCTAAAGATACTGCTGTAGGTCTCTCTAGAATCAAAGACAACCGACGCTTTAAAAAAGCACTCTCGGAAGTCTCCTACTTGAACAACTAGAGAGGCATCGATTCTCATCGATTCTCAAACACATTGTGTTTTCAGGGCCTCTTTTCTCTTCCTCTAAAAGTGCTCACATCATAAACCCACACAGTGTCTATCCCCTCTCCGGTAACATGGTCTGGGATCCAGTGTGGGAAAGGGAATCGGCAAGCAATGACTCTTGCGTCATCCTCAAGTTCAAGTTCAAGTTTCTTCTCCAACTGCGGCATCTGTGAAGAATAACAGCCATTATTTCAGTAAGCAGGTAGGCAAAAGAAGTGATTCCAGAACACCCTTTTTTATTCAAGAAGCCCTGAAAATACTTGTTAAAAAAGGTCACTTCAGGTATAAACACATCATCAAACAATCCATTAATACAGAAGACACATTAACCACACTTAAAAGAATATCTTCTAGTATCAATTATAAAATATCCATTTTTGGCAGACATATGTCATAGATTTCCAGTTTCTATCTAAAATTATGTTGTGGCAATAATTAAAACCATTAACAGCTTCAAATTATTGACCTATTTAGACTTTTCTCCAATAAAAAAGGGTTTTATTATTTGCTGAAAGTATCAACATTTTAACTATATCAGCAAAAAAAAAAGCTGCTTAGAAATTTATCTGTAGGTCCTAAAAATATAGTAATACCTCATGTCCTAAAAACACTTTTTTTCCTACTTTCTTCATTTAGCTTGCTATTTTAAGATAATTTTAAATTTACAGAAAATTCGCACTGGGCATAGTGGCACACGCCTGTAATCCCAGCAGCTTGGGAGGCTGGGACAGGAGGATTTCGAGTTCAAAGCCAGCCTCAGCAAGCTAGCGAGGCTTTGACCAACTTAGCAAGACCTTATCTCTAAACAAAATATTAAAAAGAGCTGGAGATGTGGCTCAGTGGTTAAGTGTCCATGGGATCAATCCCCAGTAGAAGGAAGGAAGGAAGGGAGGGAAAAAGGAAGGAGGGAAAGGAAGGGAGGAAAGAAAGAAATTTTGCAAGAACAGAACAAGGAAGTCCTGTATTCCTCCCCCAGGGCACCAGTTTGAACATTCTGTCACGTGGGCTTCATCATGTTTGCTCTCTTCCTCTATGACATTCTTCCTAAATCATTTGAGAAGAAGCTGCATATAGCACACCCTTTTCCTCCTTAACACTTCAGTGTGTATTTTCTAAGAAAGTTTATCATCTTATACACTCACAGCAGCCACCGCATTCAGAAACCTTAACATCATATTCCCACAATAGTTCCAATAATACTCCAAATTTGTCATTGTCCCAATAGTGTCCTATATCACATTTCCCCCAAGGCAGACTTCAGACCAGACACATGTTGTATTTAGCTCTAATGTCTGTTTGATCTCTTTTAATCTGGACTCATTCCTATCTCTGTCTCTCATGACAATAAATCAAATGGTCCTCACCTCAGGCTGCTCAAGTTTGTTCCCAATGCCCCAGCTACAGGGATGTGAACTCATCAGGACTCCCCGGATGCTCTTGAGGGTAATGTTAATCACTGGATTAGGATGAAATCTGGGATCTCCACAGTATAGTTACTATTTTCCCTTTTATGACAAGTGAGTAGTATTGACGGGGGAGACGCTGTGAGATGATCCAAACAAACTGTTGCTCATCAAACAACCCCTACCCTCAAAGTAGCACTTGTTGATGATTCTGACCTCACTAGGTTCCATTTTCACAAGTGTTGCAAAGTAGCAACTTGCTAATTCTGTCATTTTTTTCTAAATGTAGAATCAGCTTTCTACTTTAAGAATTTTCCAGACTTCCCCATCTCCCTCTGTCTACAATTATCAGTAACTATGAACACCTATGATCTCATCCCATTCATTGAGTTATAATACATTACTGTCCTTGTTTATTCTAATGCTCAGATTGTCCTAATTTGATCACTGGAAGCCTCCCACAGCTGTTCTGTCTGTCTCTTGGACAAGCTCCCATTAAATATTCTGAGTACTTCCTTATATTCTGGCTCAACAAAATGTTTCAAGCTTTTGTATCTTCTCTTTTCCAGCCCCAGATCAGCCATTTCTCAAAGATTCCCAGTTCCTCTTAGTGAAAAATGATATTTGGAAACCAAGATCTGAGCAACAACTGCTTCCTTTAAAAGTAACCAACTATAGCAAGAAGAACAAATCAATAGTGCTTCCCTGAAGGTTTTATTGCTGATCTACATCTTATAAAAGTGACTTGGAAAAACTCCTGCACAGGACTTATGGCTGGAGTAAGCCAAATCCTAACTTGTCATTAGAACCAATTCCAAGATAATAAAGGATAAGTTCCATTAGGGATGGGAGGTTTCTGTTCTTAAGAGCCAGTAAGGGTTTTGTTTTGTTTTGTTTTTTTAAAAAGTTTCATTTCTTGAAGGGAAAATTAAGTAAGCAAAGAATGAGACAATGTGTGTTTTTCCAAAATATCAGAGGTTTCTTATGGTAATTTTGCTCATCAAAAGGATAATTGCAAACTTATTCATATTACTATTATTCATTTCTCTTTTATAGTTTCTTTTATTTTCAAATGATTGTCATATGCTAAGTCAAGATAAACCTAAAAATGAAAGGAGCTATTTCAATCATAAGAAATTAACTGACTAAATTACACATAAATATGCAATGAATCTGGCTCTTGATATCAAACACAAAGAGAAGCAGTGATGTGTCCTGCCTATAGAATGGAATCCACAATTACTCATACAATTACAGGTTTCAAAGTGACACAAACTCATCTTATTCTAATTACACCTTTAAAACTTTGAACACAAGTTGAACTAGCTCAAAAGCATGAGACAGATCAGCCATGTCCAGCAGCAGCACAGATGTGCTGGACCTATCCCTGCTCTCTGGAGACACACTCCCCTTGCCCACTAGGGTGGGAAGCGCCTCTGCCACCAGGCTTCCCTGGGGGGTCCTTGGCTGGTGGCCCTCGTATCCCAGACCTCAGATGTTGGAGTACAGAGCTCAGGCCACGGTTGGCTCCTCCAGGTCACTTTAGCCTTCCTAGCTTCAGCACCTTCTGCACATTCAAGCCTCACACACTGCTTCCAGCTACTTCTCACCACCCAACCCACCCTGGTCCACACCTGAACCCATGGACACCTTCAAGAGCTCATGACCTAAGGGCCAGTTTCCACTGTGTACAAGTGTACACCACCCCTCCTTTAATTTCAGTTACTGCACAGCACTTATTCCCTTTATGAACGATATATTTTATGTAAGTGTCTCATTTAATACCTACGCTCCCCACCAGCATAGAACCTCAGGGCAGGGGTGCTCTCTGTTGTTCACTAGATACTCCAAGGGATCAGAACAGAGCTAGGTGCAAAGTGGCCATAACTGATGAACAGAGAGTAGAAGGATAGGCATTCAGTCATGAGCCGCTTTTCTTTATCAGAAAATGATACTTTCATTCATCAATTCATAACAAAACAAATGAGTGGTTCTCTGAAGTTCACAGTTAGTAGCTTTCTGGGGAAAGTACAGATAATGGGTATGTTTACACCATATTCATTCACTCAACAAGTATTTATTGACAATTGCTCTGCCAAGAGATGATGAGCTGGAGGCATGTATCGAGGACAGCTGAGCCACACCCCTGAGGTCACTATACAGTGTATACACACAAACATGTAGAGCCAACAGACAAGGAGGTGCAGGATGCCTCCTCTGAGGACAGGGGAACAAGTGCTACAGAATGGAAGACAGAGTGCTACAGCTCACCTCAGGTGATCAGGACAGCTTTACAGAGGAAAGGACAACTGGCCCATGAGTGGCCAGGAGGTGCTCACTGGGGCCAGGGTGGAAAACATATAAGTGGGAAGGGATGGCCCCAGGATCTGGCAAGAGAAGCCCAGTGAAGTCCAGAGGCTGAAAGGATAGGGGCTGAACAGAGAGCTATGGGAAGCATGGTGCAGGCCAGGCTAGAGGTGAGCAGGGGCCACTCCAGGCCAGCCTAAGGGACACGCTTGGTGCATACGCTGGTGTTACATGTGATCTCTGCAAACCTAGACTGAGTCAGCAGATCGGAATGAGAATCCTCATCCTATCACGTGAGAAACACACTTGTGGGGAAGTGCCACAACGGCCTGATGTTAGGCATAATCAGTCGCGCATCAGGAGCAGGGTCAAGGATCTATACAACCAGGTTTCCTCCCTCTGTACCTCTCCAAGGATTGTCCTCGCTCTCCCGTTAATACCTGTGCATCAGCTGCCACAGGAAATGTTTCATGGTGTGCTGGTTTGGCTGAGCTATCATCTGACCATGACTGGAATAATACCAGTGCTCAGAAAATGGGAATGCCTTTTAACAGAAGGACTCCTAGTCAGGCCCAACCCCAAGAGCCAACCTGGCCTCCAGCTTCCCAGTCAGACATTCCCCTTCCCCCAACTCCTCCACTTAGGCAGGGTTGGTGCAGGCTGAAAACATGAGGGTCCCACATGTGAAAATCAACCTTCTGGGCCAACAGAAGCCACCAGCACACGCTGCACCCCAATCAACACACTAACATGGGCAATGCAGGTGAGCTGAATCCTCTCACCACAGGGAAGGTTTCAGGAAGAGTGGAATGCCACAGGCTCCTGGCTAACATTTCCTATGTACTGAAGATGGGGCAATAATTACAAAAGCACTTATTGAAATAATAAGGCACTTACTGCCTTTGAGTGAAGAGCTCCAAACACTGTTTATAATCAAACATGATAGGAAACCCCAGGAGAGGCTGCACAGGTCACACATGACAGTGGCCTTACCTAAAGGCCACTGCTGCCCTCCGCTGGGTCAAGGCTGCATGGCCTTGTAACCCACAGCTCAGCGCATCATCCCACCTCTCTGGACAGCATGGAATGCCCAGCAAATATTAACTTTCTATTTTTACAAAGTGTGGAATTTAACTTAAAGTTACATATCTCCAAAATGCTAATTATTCCATTAAAGAAGGAAAGCCCAAACATCATAATAAGGAGTGAAACACAATCAAAACTCTTCATCAAATATGACCCCAAATAGTTAAATAGTCAGGAATCTGTCCTGCTACCTGGCTTCACTTTCAGAATAAAAGTGCAGAATCCCAAGTTCAGTGTCAATTTTAGGTCTAATGAAAATCACAAATATACAAAATGCAGTCCTTTCAAGGATACGTGACAAAAACATTTCTAAATTGTCTTTAAAAATTAAAGAGCATGATGTTACACTGAAGGTTCTAATCGTTAAGAATAAATTTCTCAAGCACTAAAACATCTTATTTTATATAAATCTGAATAAAATGACAAAAAATCAAATTTCCCTTTTTTTAATTACAAGTGGTATCAGTTATATAGTGCCATTTCTGCAAACATCCAATTCCACCCAGATTATTATGGCTACAATTATAGACTTTGAAAAGTAAAAAGGGATTTCTTTCTCTGGTCTGTAAACCAGCAATTACAGCAGAAGCATCCCAGCCTGACCATCTTCTCCAGGGCTGAAGAGGACATTTTCAAGAGAATTCTATTGTATTTTCACTTTTTAAAGCACAAAATCAAAGTTCAATACTCAGTTCTTCAGCAAATCAGTCAACTGAAGTAAATTGAAACTAGTCAATGCTCATCCACCCTGAAAATTATCTTCCTGCAAAATGGGAGGAATGATCAACTCAAAGAGAACATCCCATTAACTTCCTCAACTGACTTCGGCTTGGTCTAAAGTGAGCAGCCATGAAAATCGTGAACTGCATTCCACACTGGGACCTCATAAGGAAGTTTTCAGACTGGAATTTTAAGACCCTGGAGGATCACTGAGATTTTTATCTCAAACAGAGGTTTAAAAATATGGCTAAATCTTTTATGGTTAAATGTAAGGGCCCTGAACTATTCTATTAAACTGATGAACTGAAATTCAATGTGCCCTAGAAGTCCCTGGAGGCCACCAATCTGCACATGGGTGAGTGGCCACATGCTGGCTCTAGAAAGGCCTGTAGCATCCTCCGCCCAAGACAGACAGGGGAGAGGGGTTACACTGACCATGGCGGGGTATACTCACCATCTGAGGCACACCGAAAATAACAACATTTGAGTACTGCGAAAAGGTGACCTAAGTGAAACAGGAAACAATGGGTAGATTAATTCTGAAAAGTCAGACATTAAGCTTGCTTGTTGCATAGAAGGGAGTAGCAATTTGCCAAGCCGTGGGCTTTCACAAGCTCCTGAAGAGTGGCCCACTAAGTACGCACAGTGAGCACCATGCTCCCACTTCCATTCATGCCAGTCCAACTCCTGAGTTCTCCAAATGCTCCCCCATAACTAAGGCATCCTCAGGAACTCCATGCAGGGCATGCCCAGGGACTCTAAGGCCAGAGACTCCCAGGGTGGTCAAGCCTGGCACCTGGGCCACACATTCCCACTCCACTCTATCAGACACCAACCAGCTCAGCAGAACTCGGGGATTTTATGCTGAGCTATCGTCAGAATTCTAACCCCTCCACCTCTCTAAAATACTATGGAGAAAGTTCAGTACAATGGCTTCTCAACAGCTGAAAACTGGGGGATGTGAGGGAGTGCTTTGCCAGTCAAAATTCTATTGCTCAATAAAAACCTTATTTACTCTATGGAGCGAATGTTTAGTTATATATGGCGTGAAAAACAATGCCAGCAAAACTCTAGTGGATTTTTATAAGCTACTGATGAAGATATTACAATGGGAAACTCTTATTTAAGGCATTTTATGGAGCACTCTTACAGGAAAATTACAGGGCTCTTTCTAGAGTAAATTCAAATTTGGAAGTGCCTCACACTTTATGAGGACAAGAAGTAACCCTGACAGTATGGTTAGTGGAGTCTCTGTTCTCCTCATGGTCTAAGTACACATGTAAACACACACACACACACAAACGTGCATGAGACAGACATTTATCAAGACAATTTATAGGATTTCCACAAGATGGAAAAATCTCATTATTCCATAACAAACAAAAGAGAACATTTTAATTTAGTCAATAAATTCTTGAAATTCACATGACCTATCATATTATAAACTTAAAAGTTTCTGTTCTACTTGTAAAATTTGTTTAAAATACATCTAATTATGCCAAAATATTCATTGGATTTTAACTATTTTTTTCTTTTAAGACGTTTTCCAGTTGTTAGTCATGTTAATTACAATACAAAAGCTTTTGGTTGGATTTTTCTAGAAGTATCCTCCACCACTTTACGTACCTTCCATAAATCTGAAATATAAAATCTGGCAGAGCCGTGCACACCTTCTTGCCAAGCACGGTATCTGGAGTACCAAACCAGCCATGGATTCAGTTCATAACCAACAGCTGAAAATCCTTCCTTCGCAGCTGCTATCACCTGGAAAGAGGCCGAGATTTACTAAAAAGAAGAAAAAGCTATGACATGTGGTCAAATTATATAAATATTTTCTACTTAAGACTTAAAATTCTAAAACACTCCATCAAAAAGCTTTCTCCTTAATAAAAACACTATGTAAAAATGTGTCTCCAGAGTTATGAAACCTGTGGATTTGGTGATGGCCAACCCAGCTAAACTCAAGTTTTCTGGCTTTCATCAAATATTTTAATATCAGAACAGACACTGAGGTTTGCTTCAGAAAACTGTGTAATTAATTCTGGTCTAACCAACCCCAACAAGCAGCTGCTGAGAACCTACCACCTTTTTCATTCCATCAGTGGGCTACACAGCAGCGTTAAGTGAACAAGCCTGGGAGGACAGTTTCATGAACAAGTAATAACAATAAAATGACCTGCTGGTAAAGAATCTGCAATCAGTTACACATTTTCTTAGCATTTAACGATCATACAATTTAAATTAAAACCAGGGGAAAAAACCAGGTGCTGTGACACACACCTGTAATCTTGGGAGGCTGACGCAGGAAGATTGCAAGTTCAATGCCAGCCTCAGAAATTTAGTGAGGCCCTAAGCAACTTAACAAGACTCTGTCTCAAAATAAAAAATTTTAAAAAGGACTGGGGATGTGGCTCAGTGGTTAAGCATCCCTAAGTTCAATCCCTGGTACCAAAAAATAAAAAATAATAAAAACAGGGGAAAATAAAATGAGTGAGTTTAAATAAAAAGTCAACTATAGAATCCTACTGGTCTCCCAAAGGCGGTAAGTATGGTGGAGGTCCTGGGATCTCTCTACCCAATATGCCTTGACCCCACTCTTCAAGGGAGCACCCTTACCGAGCTGTCTCATAAGGGAACTTCCCAAGTAACTACAGTGCCACAAGGCAACCACTTTCTTAGAAACCAGAAAGGTGCCCTTCATGTATGTGAAGGATTCAATATGGACACAAACATTTCCTCCTAATCAATACTCGTCTCCCAATTTCTTAAACACTAGTGGTTGCCAGAAGTTGAGGGAAGGAAATGAATAGGGAACTAGTGTTTAATATTCAGAGGTTCAGTTCTGTGAGACGAAGAGTGCTGCAGAGGGGCGTGGTAATGGCTGAACAAGGAGAATGCTCTTGTGCCACTGGGTATACGTTTTTCAATGCTTAAGACGGTAAACATATTTTATCACACTTTCTAATTTTTTTAATTTAAAAAATAAAAAACAAGAGTGACTTCCTAAAGCCTTCCCAATACTCCCAGGTCATGATCACAGAACAACAGGATTTGGGTCCACTGGGCTGGTGAGATGTGTGTAACCCTGCTGGTCTCCACACTACCTGCTTCTAGCACACCTCTCTGGCTCAGTCTTTCTCTCCAGCGCATCATCAGGATGAAGCCTAAGGACAGTGCCACCTTACACACTGAAGGCTCATTTGCCAGTCAGTGGCCCTGTCTTTACTTACAGGTTCCACTGGGGTCAAGTTGAGCTGAAGTTGATAAAACCTGATCTTTAGCTAAGTGAGGTTCTCACTGGCTCCTCCTTATTTTAACTCCATGTTACCCCACAGGAACTCAGATTTAAATATGAATAAATGCTGAGAAACACATAAGCAAACATCTGAGCAGCAAATAAGTATGAATTGTGAAATTCCATGATCAAACATGTTTCATCTAATTATGCCACCTTTACTGGCCAAAGAATTCTAACAATTTGATAAATTGTTCTTTTCTACCTGTCATGGTTACAGAGTTCTTCCTCCTTTAAAAAAAAAATAAATCTGAGAAAAATTTCAAACACATGCTAGTGCTCTAACAGTTTAGTCAAACAAACAAAAAATGAAACAACTACTCTCTCAACCTGACAGATCTGGCAAGTCTTTGCATAGGCCTCACAAGAAACATAAAGAGAAATTTTAACTATCCTCATTCCAAACTTAAAATACTGTGGCATAACTCACAATGCGTCCATCACCACTACCAATGTCTACCAGGGGTCCTCTTCTGCATCTCAACATCTTCACGACATTTTCAATCTGCTTTGAAGTTGCAGGCACAAAAGGTAAACAAATTTTCCGCAGGGCTGGTGTGATAAACGGTGTAGCCACAGCATACACAGCCACCAGTGCTCCACCTACAATCCCAGTAAGGAGGAACCCCCACGGGCTTCTCTTCACACTGCTGGCTTCTGAACTTGTGGGCAGAATGTGTCCCAACTGCCTTTCTTCTTTCAGTGCTTCTGGAAGTGTACCTACAGAGAGAAAGCAAAAAACCAAATCTGAAATCCAGGACTATACTGTTTTCTGATTTTTTTTTTTTTTTTTTTTTTAGTATCAGGAATTGAACCAAGGTTTACTAAGCTACATCCCTAACTCTTTTTATTCTTTATTTTGAGACAGGGTCTTGCTAACTTGCCTTGAACTAGGGATCCTCCTGCTTCAGCCTCCAGAGTCACTGAGATTACAGGTGTGTGCCACTGTGCCTGGCCTGTAATTCTTATTGACAAATAAACTAATGCTTTTTAAGAAAACACAATTTGTCTGAACATAATCTAAATTACAAGGTTAAGATTCCACAATGAGTTCTAGATTTCATTGACAAAATTTAAGTGATTTGGAGAAAATTATTCAATAGAAATGGAGGACTAAAATCTTTTCTTCTCAACATATTGGTTTACTGATGTCTAGGAGTCACCTGAGAAAACAGTGTATTCAAACTCTGTATAGTAATTTATTAGTTCAATATCCATTTCAATATCCATTAGTACATGCTTTTTATGTTCTGAACAAAGAAAGTCTCGTAAACAAATACACATGAAAATGTCTAAACACTACCTAATTCAAGAAGGACAATTGGCCGGGCATCTATAATACATTTCACAAATGCAATTTTGAAGTAACAGAAGAGACAAATATCAGATTTTACCAAACTCTTAAGTATAGTAATAAATTTTTTAAAAAGCAGATCCAAAAAGAACAAAATAAGAGTCATTTCAATATTATCAGAGACTAAAACAAACACCCTCCCATCACTGATCACAGAAATGAGTGTCACCTTAAAAATCCTCGAGTTTTGTCCTTTAATGCTCTTACCAGGATGTAAAAGTGATATGGTTTTAAAAATGGTAAATGAGGAGCACAGCACAGGAGGGAGGAGTGTGTCTCCTCTGGAGCCCACTGACCCTGTGACACCAGCTGTCAATTTACTTCGACCCTGAATCCCTCCTTTCTCATTGCTGAACCTCTGTTTTCTCAACTATAGCGTGGGGGCCCTAGGTGACTGCAAGGATAAAATGAATGGAGACAGGTAAAGCACACGGGACAGGGCTGGGCACACAGATAGCAGCCCACTGCATCACCAATCACCACCATGCTGGAGACACCAAAGCCCACGGCGAACCAGACCATCTCTGCCCTCAAGTAGCTCCCCACGTTGCTCATGGCTATGGCCTAAAACACAAAAATCCAGAGGAAACAGGAAAAGGCAAGAGGGAGAACATCAGATCCTTGCCATTTATAGATGTGACTGTTCATAGCTTCATTATCAGTAAGCCAATCAAAAGGCCCACTGCTTAGTTTGATAACTGCCCTAAGAAATCACCACACACTTAGTGGCTTGAAACAGCACACATTCATTTCCATGCAGTGCTGGAGCTCAGATGTCTATAAGGGGACAGCAGGGCTGTGTTCCTCCTGGAGCCTGAAGGGTAGGATGGGTTTCCTCGGGTTTTCCAGCTTCCAGAGGCTGCCCATATTCCTTGGCTCTTGACCCCACATCACTCCAATCTGTTTCCATCTTAGAATCTTCTTATCTCACCTTCCTGTCTCCCTCTTTCTTTACAGGGATCCTAGTAAAAACATTGGGCCCACCTAGATAACCCAGGATAATCTCCATCTAGAGATCCTTTATCACACCTGCACAGGTTAAAGTGATTACAGTGTAAACATTGTTGGAGGAACCATTATTCTATCCACTGCATCACGACACCATGTCACCATGAACTGGGACGATGTACTCTGACCCCAAATGTTGGCATACACAGCAGTGGGTTACACTTCAGGGAAGTTGGCCAACCACCAGGATTCCCAGCTCAGCATGGCTTTATTCTTCTTGACTTCCGAGGCCCCCTGAGGGGGAGGGAGTTTCAAAACTGGTTTCATAGTGAAAAACTAACTCAAGAGAAAAAAACAAGTCTCCTTACTAGCACTAGTGATAGAGGTAAAATAAAATTAAGCTTGAGAAGGTGGCAAGTATTTGATAGAAAGCAAATTCTTTAAATGATTTCAGATAAATTGTGGCATTGAATGGAAGAACTTGCCCACTATACTTGTGCATTTGTTTACCTAGAGAGGTCAAGGTATGTTTGTCCTGCCCTTTATAGAGTCATGCTGTGGGCACTCCAACTGCATAGTACAGTGGCTCAGAGGATCTGAGTCACACAATTTAGAGTCTCAGAACTTAAGTAGGGTAACATAAAGTAAACTGCTACTACAGCATGGTTTGCTTGCCAGTAAAATTGAGAAATAATTGTTATTCTTTTACCCCAATTCAAAATTGAGAAAGACAAGACTTATCAATAATACCATCCCCATAGGGTTAGTGGAACAGCTAAATAAATAATACAGACGAAGACTTAGCACAGGCCTAAGAGACTGAGTAATGACTGTTAAACTGCTATTTTTATTCTCAAGACTATAACTTGGGGAAGGGAGCTCAATTTCTTAATAGCTTTACTGACATATACATAGAATTTGCCCACTTAACATTACAATTCCATATTTTATTTTGTATATTCATTGATAATGTGCAACCACCGCCAATTTTTTAATATTTTCTTATTACAAGAAGTCTCTTATCCTGCAGCTACCATCCACCCCCACCACCCACCTCCCATCCTGCCCTAAGCTACCATTAATCCATTTCTGTCTCTAGAGTCCCCTATTATGAACTTAGTGGAGTGGAATCAAATCATACAGTGTCTTCAGTGACTACTTTCACTTAGCATAATGTCCTCAAGATTCACCCATGCTGGCTCTTGTATCAGTACGTCATTCCTTTTTATGGCTAATACTCAACCACATGACTATACCACATTTTGTTTACCCATCTGTAGTAAACACACACAAGTCAGTCAATCAAAATTCTACTTAACCTGTATAAACATAAACCTTTCCATGCAACCAGCAAAAGATACAATAAAGAGCTCCTGGTCTTCGGGACCTCCCAGTGGCCTGTGAGTATTAGTGTTGAGGTAGATAGGTGAGGTGGTGAAAAGCACTGTAACATGCAGGAAATGCTGTGGAAATACAGGGTAGCAGGAGGGAAGACTGATCCCAGTTATGAGACCAGTAAGGTATTGGCAGAGAAACAGAATTTGAGCTGGTGGGCAAATGAAACATACCTTGGAACCAAGGCGTGGAAGGTGAGGAAGTCCTGGCTGAGCAGAGTGGAAGATTAATAGGAAGGCAGGTGTTTGAATACAAGGATATGTTTATTTTATTACATGTGGACTAGATTGAAGTTTTTTGAGCAAAGCCACTACAATATTTGGGTTTTAATGGATTTTTAACCCTTTTTAAAGGACCATGTTCAGATTCACAGGACTATTTACTAAAATGTAAATTCCAAGAGACTTCTGTCAGATATGCTGTTCTGAAACATCAAGCCATCGTATTAAAGAAGAGCTGTGGTGAGGATTTAAGAGAACTTTCTTAAAAACAGAAGACTGCACAAGGTTAACTTCTGTTCTGTCTCCAGGACCTGTCTACTCAGTGACTTCTGATACTGGTTGAAAAACACAATTTTCAAGGACAAATTCCGATTAGCTAAAGACAGAGACAGGGACTAAGATGTTCAAAAAGTTCAAGGAAAAAGGCCAGAAAGATCCTGCTTGTTTGGAATTGTGACCAGCCACATGTTTGAAATAGGGTTTGTATTTGAAGGTCACAAGACTTAGGGCTGCTCATTGTGTAACCGCATATGCACACTAGTATAACTAAGGCTTATGTTCCTTTAGAGGCTTTTCTTGTATTGGTCCAATGTCATTTGTGTCCTTTTTGCTGCGTATCAGCTATTGATTAGGAAAAATCCTCCAAACACGCCTGTGTTTCAACAGGAAATAAATTACACAAAGGATGCTATTAGACATTTTCTATTCTTCACAACTATCTAATGAGCAAAATGAATTGCAGGCTTCACCAGTGTGAACAAGGAAGCACCAACTCGGCAGAAATGAGACCCTACTACAAAACCTAAAATGCCCTTGATGTATCACCCTAAGCCTAGACAAAAGGTGGGCCAAGCATTAAAAGAAGTTAATGGACCACCAACCATTCCAAATGTTATAATATATGCATTTATTTCAACGTTCAAGACCTAATAAAAATTGGTAGTAATTAACAGGAGCAAACCCTTGTCCTATAGAAGATGGGGTGAAGAAAACTGGAAAACCCACAACAAATAAATCTACCTATAGGTTGCGATTTAGGGACATGGTACCATCTATTTAAGATTAACAAGAAATATACTTCTGAAGGCAGCAGGACCCTGAGCAACAGGCTGTTTAACTTTGCCTCATAACTAGCTTCTAACCTTGTGCGGGTTACTAGATTATATGTGCAAAATGTGTATTTATTTAGCAAACACTTAAACACCGCGTGCAAAGGACTAGACACTTCTCCCTGTACCCCTACTGCAGCCCTACGAAAGGTAGATATGAGTGTCATTACAGCCATTTTCGCAGACAGGGAAACTGAGGTACAAAGGCACCAAACGGGCGGTGCAAAGACGCGGCTCGTAAGCGGCATGGCTGTGACCGCACTGAGGGCTGAGGCACGTGCCCCACGGCGCTCGCAACAGCCCCCGGCACACAGCGCCGGCCGACCACTGGGGCCCAAGACCCCAGCACCGGGACAGGACAGGGCACCCGACTTTTGCAGCCCTCGAGTTCCAGCAAGCCGCCAGCCCCACACCGAAAAGGAAGTACTGCGCCGCTCCGGCCTCACCTCCTCCCTCCATCGCGAGACTTCCTGCGGGGCGCAGGGAGAGGAAGTGGATCCTACCATGTCCTCCCAGTCGGGTGGGAAGAACTCAGAAAATGATTTAAATAAATGAGTTTCTCGTTGGGACCCACCGCTCGGAAACTCTATATCGTAAATCTTTAAAGAAGTGACTAAATTTGGCCTACTCTTGGCTCGTGTTTCTAAAAGTCCCCGTCAGTCTCTTCGCACTGCCCCCCCTCAACTTTCCTGGATGATAGAAGTTCCCAAAGGCCACTGATTCCAGAAGTTACTGTCTGGCGTAAAACTAGTCTCGGTTGAAAAATAAATCTCCAGCGGCCGCTCTACGCATGCGCGAGCTGTTGAGCCCTCCCGCGAGAGGAAGGCGCGTTCTCAGTTCCGGAGCGGTCTCCATCGGCAGTGGGAAAGTAACTCCTGTGGCTGAATCATGGCGTCCGTGGGGACCCTCGCATTCGATGAATATGGGCGCCCCTTCCTCATCATCAAGGATCAGGACCGCAAGTCTCGGCTTATGGGACTTGAGGCCCTCAAGGTAACGGCTCGGGACACGCATGCGGTGGAATAAGGGAGGGCGGCCGGTGCTGTGGCTCTGCGCCTGCGCAGGCTTAGGCGCGGTGGTGCCATGTGCGGTCCGGGAAAGTGGAGACCCTCTTCTTCAGGCAGCCGTTCTCGGCCCCGGCCGCGCACCCCGCTTCCTGCGCTCGGGAAAGGCTGCCCGACAACGCCGTTGCCTTCGCGGGGGCTGGGGCGGGCCGCCAGCGCCCCCGGAGCTGGGCGGCGGCCCCAGGTCAGCCCGCGCGGGGAGCAGAATCGCTTTTCGGCCGGCTCTGCAGCCCCCAGAGCTCGCTGGACTGCCTGGCGGGGCCACCCGTCTGGTTAAGGCTGTGTGTCCAGCTCTCAGCTGGTGTACCCGCAACAGCCCGAAAGAAACAAGCTCGTTTTCTTTGTCACTCGGAAAGGTTTAGTCGCAGTATTTCACTTTTGAGTGCTTTTATGTGTGCGGCGTCGTGGAAACTTGAAAGAGCGAAGAATGGACAGATAGCTATAATTCAGGATGGCGTGTGATTAGAAGGGAGCCCTGCAAACATTTGATAACGGCATGGCATTTGATCAGGGATTGGATGATACACCGTAGAAGGCAACGTTTTGAGCTAGACTGAACAGAATAAGGCAGAATAAAGAAGTTTTAAGGAAATCAGGGCAAGAGTCCAAGTTAGAAAGGATCATCTGAATACAGATGGTAGCAGAGAAAATGTATAGGAAGGGACATTTTGGGGTGGGGCCCTTCAGGCGTTTTATGTGGGTAAAGCATGGCACCAGGTTCACATAGTGGCTTGTCGTTTAAATAATACAGTTCTGACTGTTGGACTTAAGTTACACAGCCTCTCTGGACTAGTTTCCCAGCAGGGCTGATTACTGCCTGAGGACTTGACAGGTATTGAAATAGTGTTATGAAGCCTCACCTCAGTGCTTGATCCATGCTGGGTACAGAGTTTATTTTCTTTCTTTAAAAAAAAAAAAATTTTTTTAAAGGTATTCATATTACATACTCAGTTCCACTTTTCACCTAAAGGAAATTGCAGATAAAGTAACATCCAACTCACCATAAATTTAACAATACAATTAAAGGTACAGATTATCTTGTATCAACCATTTTGTGCTAACTATATGGAGTTTTTTGTGTAGTCTTCACCCTATGGGATAGGTACTGTTTTACAGAACTGGAAATTTAGGACCAGAGAAATTGCCCATGTACATAGCTATTAAAGAGCACCACTTTCACCCTTGGTATTGTTGACATTTGGGTGTAGGTCATTCTTTGGTGTAGAGCCCTACACTGTGTAGGGAGACCTAGCAGTTTGCCTGATCTCAACTCACTACATGGCAGTAACATCTATCCAGATTTTGTTGGGGGCAGCTGGGCTTGTTTCTGTTATTGCAGTACTGAGGTTTGAACCCAGGGCCTTGCACACATGCTAGGCAAGCACTATACCACTAAGCCCTCGTTTTTTTGTTTTGAGACAGGATCTCACCAAGTTGCCCAGTCTAGCCTTGAACTTGCAAACCTCCTGCCTCTTGTCTCAGTAGCTATGATAACAGTTGTGCACCACTATATCCAGCCCCCTCTCCAATGTTGGTGGCCTAAAACATATTCAGATATTGTCAGGTGTATCCTGGGAGATAAAACTGCTCCCAGTTAAGAACCTCTTCCCTATGATGGTTATCTTTTTTAAATTTCTCTATAAAGACATACCTTTCAAAATGTATTTTAAGGGCTTCCAGTGTTTTCACAGACTGAATTAACTTTATATCTTTTGTAACATGCCAGGTTGACCGAAAAGGTTTTACTGAACATGTGCATTTGAACTGCTTTAAAGAGTAGCGGGGATTTTGATGGGAGGAGGGCTTTCTATGCATGGGCACCTTAGAGGTTGAAAATGTGTTTAGAGAACAAGCAGAGATCATTTTCACAGAAGGAAGTTGAGTTTCAGATTGTGAAGGGCTTTGAAGAACAAACTGAAACTTTTAACTTGCATGTTGAGGCACTGGAAGTTATTTAAAGTTTTGGAAGTATTAAGTAGCTGTTTGGGGAAAATTAATTTAGTTGGGTATGGAATGAACTAAGGGCTAGAAGGCGATATGAGACTTTGAAATTCTGTAGGGAGCTTTGAATCTGAGTTAGGTTGTTAAAGCAAGAAAACAAAAAAAGAAAGGAAACAGCCTTTGGAGGAAATGTGAGCCTAATTAAGTGTAGGTATAGGGAGGGGTATTTACAAGCTTTGGTTATCTTAGGGTTCTCATGTCATTGGCATAAGTTTTATTTGCAGAGGGGTGGGAGTCAGCTAGGAAGATTGTTTGCTGTAACTAACACCTCTGAGTTCCAAGGATTTCTCTGCAAATTAATAAACCTGTCCAGATGTTACAGCAAGGCATGTTATTTATTTTCTTAAAATGTAGAAACAAAAACCTAAGGCTTATTTAAACCAGTAACATTAAATCTTTTAAGAATTTAGAAGCTCTGATTCTGCACACTTTGAGGCTCTTCAGTTTGAGGGTGTGTACCTTGAATCCTCTGATCTCATATAACATCTAGTTGACTTAAAAGAGAGAACCAAAATGGGAAAGAATAAAGGAAATGTCATTAGCCATAACATTTTCATGGGTAAAGGTTACAAACTCTTTTTCCCTTGTTATTTAAAGCCTTAAAGTTAATTAGTATTTTGTTGAAATTCTTTGGTTGTATAACACGTTGCTGTATAACAATTTGCCTTAAAAATGCAGGGTAGTTGGCTTAGGAAGGAATTGTATTCTAAAGGTGCACAACCTAAAACAAAGCATGCTAAGTTCTTAGTTCAGCCACCAAAATCCTGTTTAGTCTACAATGTAACTGAACCACGGTGCCTTAAGGTTTATATTTTTCTCTCTGGAAACAGAACTGGAAGGATAAGGAAGAAGAAAGTTTAAACAGGTTAAAATAGAGCAGCCTACCCAATTATGTGCCTCCACAGAATCACTATTACCAAGTTCTTAACCACTATTCAGAACTTTTTTTCTTTGAATTATCTTTCTTAAAACCTTTGACAGGCAAGGGTAACTCCTCTGTTTGGGTTATATGTTATATGTAGAATCCACAGGAATATTTTCACAGTAGACCACAGTATGAAAGTTCAATATGTTCCATGTCTGTAGTTGGACTACAGCCCCTGGCTGGTGAGAGAATTGACTCATTGACATGTCGAGGGTTAAATGGGATAACAGAAAGCAGTCAAATTCTGTTTCTACTTTCTTTGCCTACTAAAGCCAGTAATCATAATTGTTAACACACTTAGTATTAGACCTGTCAATAGCCTCTTAAATGTAGAAGCTGCCAGAAGACAGACAGGCAGAGACGAGTGTTTTTGGAAATCATCACCTCTGCTTCTAACTATTGAAATGGTTTGTAACTGGGTATCTTTTCTGTTTTATTTAGTCCCATATAATGGCTGCAAAGGCTGTAGCAAATACAATGAGAACATCTCTTGGACCAAATGGTAAGAGTCTTAACAAATCTGTATTCTTTAGCAAAAGTTTTAAATGAAAGTCAATGTAATATCTTTAGAAAACTGTAGTACAGTGTCTCATACCCTACACAGCCCAAATGTTTTAGTGTATTCCAGATTTCTTAAACATGGTTCTGTTAATTGTGTGTGCAGTTTTACATCACACTTTTTTTTCACTTATTATCACTTCTTAGCATTTTCCAAATTATATCTGTTATCTTTTGAAATTCATATATTTAGTGGTGGTCCATAATTTTTTTTCTATTTCTCTGGTTTTAGCCACTTAGATCTGTTTTTCAGTGTGATGTTGCTTTAGGTTAACCAGTCTAAAAATGTCTTCATACAGTATTTTTATGTATGTTGAATTATTTGTTTTCTAATAAATTGTATAAATAAAAAGAGCTCTGAGTTGGTATTGGGTTCCCCCTTCTCAAAAAAAAAAAAAAGGCCTTCTAAGCATTATTTTCTTTCTAGGACTGGATAAGATGATGGTAGATAAGGATGGCGATGTGACTGTAACTAATGATGGGGCCACCATTTTAAGTATGATGGATGTTGATCATCAGATTGCCAAGTTGATGGTTGAACTATCCAAATCCCAGGATGATGAAATTGGAGATGGAACCACAGGAGTGGTTGGTAAGAAAAGATAGCTTATCCTTTCTCATCTAAGAGGTTTGAAATCAATCACAGGGCTAACATGCCTACTGAAAATACTTGCTCTGGATCAACTCATGGGCAAACAGTGGAATCTAAGCTGAGCATGCCACAGGTGTGCCATGCTTTTTAAAATTTAGTGTCACTGTGGGCTGGAGTTGTGGCTCAGTGGTAGAGTGCTTGCCTGGTATGCATGAGGCCCTGGATTCAGTCCTCAGCACCATGTATAAATAAATAAAACGAGAGATCCATTGACAACTAAAAAAAAAACTGAGTGTCACAAAAGAACAGAAAGAGTAGGAGGGCACTTAAGAATGTGAAAGAACAGCCAGCTGTAGTGTGTAGTTCTTTATTGTGGCTGGCTTTTTTTTTTTTTTTTTTTTTTTTTTTTTTGAGGTGTAAAGGATATTTAGGACAAGCAGGGGGGATTTAATTATAGATCATATAATACATAATGGTATTGTGTCAGGATTCGTGTTTTGTTTTTGTTGCTTGTTGTTTTGCTTTGCTTAGTACCTGGCCATTGCTGAGGCTGGCTTTGAACTCCTGCCTCACTCCCAAGCTGCTGGGATTACAGGCGCCCAGCTCTCTGTTGTGTTATTTTTGTTTGCTTGTGTATTTTTTGTTGTTTTGTACTGGGGATTGAACCCAGGGGTGCTTAAGCACTGAGCCACATCCCCAGCCTTTTTTTAATATTTTTAGAGACAGGGTCTCTTTAAGTTGTTGTAGCGGGCTTTGAACTCTCTATCCTCCTGCCTCACCCTTGTAGCCTCTGGGATATAGGCGTGCACCACCACCATGCCTGCAGGATTAAGTTTCTTGACGGTTACATTGGAGTTTTATAGGAAAATGTCTTGGTTCTTGGCCAGATGCTAAAATATAGAATTGTGGCATCATGATTTCTGCAACTAATTTTCAAGGACTTGGACAGAAAAAGAGGGTGTATGCATATCAAAATGTTAAGTGAACATTTAGTGTTCACTTTACTGTTCTTGCATTTGTTTTTCCCCTGACAGTTTAGACATTTATAGTTTTTTAAAGAGTTGGAAAAGATTGAAGAGATTAAAAATCTTTCAGGTTGCTTTTTCTGCAACTAATTTTAATTCAACAAGTATTAATTCAACACATCTGTTGGATGCCATTATGTGCTGACATGGCTCGGTGTCCTTGGAGATCAGCAAATTTAGGATCAACAAAACAAAATTCATCTGTGTGAACCCAAAATGGGAGGATTGGTAGAGGGAGAGAATAAATAATTAACAGATTTGTGAATCCTCTTAACACCAGGATAATTTTACTGAACAGAAGTCTCCTGGTCCAGGAAACATAAAAGTGTTATCTCCTTATGAAAATAAAAACGTTCTTACATTTTGTTCTTTATTTGCATTCTTCACATCACTGAGGATTGAACATTGCTCTGTAAGGAGAGACATGCATGCTATAACTTCGCTAGGACCAAAACAAGGCCTCCCTTTCAAAAATAGCCCAGCTTCTAAGATCATATCCACCTTAATTCTGGGACTATCTTTGATAATTTTACTATACTAAAAGTTTTAACGTTTTTCCCAGTCTGACTGTCACTGTCCTGTTTGCAGTCCTGGCTGGTGCGTTGCTGGAAGAAGCCGAGCAGTTGCTAGACCGAGGCATTCACCCCATCAGGATTGCTGACGGCTATGAGCAGGCTGCCCGAATTGCTATTGAGCACCTGGACAAGATCAGTGATCGTGTCCTCGTTGACATAAAGAACCCTGAACCACTGATTCAGACTGCAAAAACCACTCTGGGCTCTAAAGTGTGCGTGTTATGTTGGTAGAATGTTTCCCTGTTTCTAAAGGCAACAGTATGATGGCCAGTTTGTTACTGATTTGATAAAATTTTCTGTTTAGTTTTGCTTTTATTTAGTGTGGATATAGACATAGGCATCTTGTGTTGTAATTAGAAGCTAAATTTCCCAGTTCAGTTGCTAAATTTTGACAATGTTTGTGAAATATATAGTCCTTTTAATATAGCAGGATAGGCTGATTTGAAATCAACCAAAAAGGGTCTTACATAACACTTCTATTTCTATCATTTCTTTGTTAGGAAACTGGACAAAAGGAGTTTCTAGTTTTCATTTAGCAAGCAAGCAAATTTACTGGTCCAGAGTTTTAATTTAGTAAGGAGGATCAGTCGTGAAATTGACTCACCAGGTGTTTGCATAATACCTTCTATTTGACAGGCTTACTGCTAAGTATTGTAAGCACAAACACACAGTTTTTTGAACAATAACAGAAACGTGGTTGATTGCCATAATGTAGCATAAAAATCTAGTGTAAGGTCCTTTATTACACTTTTTATTTAACTCATAACAATGCAAGAGGCGGCTATACTTTAATATGTGAGAAAACAATATGTTTCAATTTTCTGTATGTGTGGTAGTTTAAGCAAAAAGGAAGTGGTCTCGGGAAATGCAGGGGTCAGGGGAAATGCAGCCACTGTCTGCTGCCTTCTCTCCAGGGAAGACATCCTGGCTACTGAGAATAGCTTCTTGACAAGGTGCTGGCTGCCTTGGGTGGCCCCCTCCATGGCCTATCATGATTTTCTCATGAAAGGAAGACAGTTGTGTGACCTGAACTATATAAACCTTACTTAATTGTTGCTTTATAAGTTGAACTTGTTCTGTTTGAAAGTTCTGTTTATAACTCAAGTATGTATGGTTTTTTACTACAAATGCTTAAATGGACGGATGGTAGCCAAATATAAAGCAGAATATTGTAAGTTACCTACTTAGGATACTAACATTTTCAGTTTCATGGTTCTCTTATGACTTGGATTTCAGACACTATTTGAAGTATTGAATTTCCCTTGTGGTTTTCTCTAGACTCTTTAAGTATTTCACAGCTTTCAAAAAGATGACATCCCCCATCTGTAACTGATGCTGTAGAGGGAATTCTTATAAAAGTAGACTGCCCCATCTAGGCTTTTCACTTCTCAGTAGGTGCCCGACTCTCAGAGATAAGATTTATTGCTTTTTCTGGGTGATTTATCTTTCCCATTCTACTTTGAACTTCTAAAGTAGCCATACATTTTGTAAAAGTAGTGCACTCTTTGAAAAGTCTCAGTGCCATACTACAGTGGTCTTTTATGTGCATTCGTAGTGGAAGGAAATAGTAAATTTTAGTGAAAATAAAGATGCATTTTCCCCCATGCAAATTTATGGTCCCCTTTGGAATCTATGAATCCCAGGCTGAGAACCTGCCCCAGATGGAAATGAGGTTATGATGGCATTCCTTTCTAGAAAACTCTAAACAACATAAGTTTTGAAATCATTGTGAAAAAGTTCTGTTTTCTTCAGTGTTAACAGCTGTCATCGACAAATGGCTGAGATTGCTGTGAATGCTGTCCTCACCGTGGCCGATATGGATCGGAGAGATGTTGACTTTGAGCTCATCAAAGTAGAAGGCAAAGTGGGTGGGAGGCTGGAGGACACCAAACTTATTAAGGGTGTGATCGTGGACAAGGATTTCAGTCACCCCCAGATGCCAAAAGTAAGTCATTGCTTTTAAAGCTTCACACCATGTTTTAACTCTTAAATCTGCCAATTTAAATGTTTTTATTTTTCCCCATAGAAAGTGGAAAATGCTAAAATTGCAATTCTCACATGTCCATTTGAACCACCTAAACCAAAGACAAAACACAAGCTGGATGTAACCTCTGTGGAAGATTTTAAAGCCCTTCAAAAATATGAAAAGGAGAAGTTTGAAGAGATGATTCAACAAGTAAGTCTTATATAAACTGTTATGAAATTTAAACTCTCAAAGGATGGAATTAATTAAGTATGGTTAATAAAATACATGTGGAATTGACCTGAATCATCCTTTGATATATTGATATAATCAAGGTAATTGTCAGTTACTTTGATACTCCATTATGTGATTACAAATAATGTATAACATAGTATTTGTTCAGTTTTGCTTCATAAAAATAATAAACACAGAAAAAAGCCAAATGTCATATAGAAAGACATAAAATGAAATGGTTAGTGTGCTTTGAAGAGTAAGCACCATTACCTAGAGCTGTACTTTTGATTGTGCTATTTTCTCTCCTGGAACATTTGATGTGATTTTTCGATGAAAGTTGCTCAGTCAGGTCAGTATGAGTTTGTAAATATCTTAATGTTTTCCCCTGGCCCCTGATAATGAAGTGTGCATGTTACCTGTCAGCAGTTTTTGCTGACAACATTGATAAACTCCAGGGTGGGCAGGGGAATGCTGGATGAGGTGTGCTGGAAAAGACAAAAACCAAGATAGATGATTTGGTCATTTGCAGGCTGCTAAGATGAATAGAATGGTGTTAGGGCTAGAGACTAAAATGTTAAAGAATGAGAGTGACCTAAGAGGAACATCATAGGCTACTGTGAGAAGCAAAAGGGACTCTTCCCATTTTGAGCACATCTTAAGGAAAAATAGCCTCCTCTTAAAGAGGAATGCGGGGCATTTTAAAACAGTCTGTTTACAGCAGATGTGACAGAAACATTGCATACGTAGTCTACTCTTGATGACCCAACTTCCACAGAGGGAGGGAAAAGAGATGGATAACCAGGGAGTGGTGGGTGGTCTGAGAGGCTTTGGTCAAATGGGACCCTGGAGGAATGGTTTGTTGTGTCCTTTCTTTCTTGAGAAAAGGCACTCAGGTGTTTATTTACATGCTTTCTAGAGCAGAATTGCCTGTTTGGGCCCTAAATTTTCTGTTGATCCTCAGATTGTCCGCTCAAATGAGACAAACAAAGAGTATAGATGAGTGTGTGTTGTAACATTTGGGTTTTATCCAGGTACACAAATGAAACCACTTCATGGGTATTTATGCCAGGGTAGAGCTGTTAACCTTTGGGAGAGGTTAATATTGGTCTTTTGGCAAGTCTTGTTTTGCTTCACTCTTAACAGTGGGATGGAGCATAAATTATAGATTGTGGTTTCAAAGCATAGTATGAAAAATGAGGTGATTACTATAGATACTTGTAGTGACATATTCATGTAGTTCCTTATTAGTTTTCTGTGTTACTTGTTGTTTTTGGTTTTGTAATACCTACTTTTTACTAGTATAACTGGTATTTCTTTTTCTAGATTAAAGAAACTGGTGCTAACCTAGCCATTTGCCAGTGGGGCTTTGATGATGAAGCAAATCATTTACTTCTTCAGAATAACCTGCCTGCGGTTCGCTGGGTAGGAGGACCTGAAATTGAGGTAGGAAATCCCATGCCAAAAGCTTACCCTGTACATAGGGGTTGAGCTTGCAATGTATTTAGAGGCTGTTTTGGTAGGAGTTGCCTTAAATAACCACATTATGCCAAGGATCCACCAATTAGAAGAGAATGAGCTGGGGGAAAGGAAAGTGCTAGAATCCTTTTTGATTGGATAATGGTTCTGTGTATTTCTTGCGTTTCATGCCATATTGAAATGCTTTTCCCTGGTTATTTCACTTGCTTCTCATTAACTTTCCGAGGCAGTAAGACTGGGCTCATCCCTTTCTGTGTTAGCCTGATACCAACAGCTGTCCCAAGCACTGTTGTGGACAGCAGATATGCACTATCTCTGTGGTCCTCCCTTTCCTCCACTGCAGTACACATTCCCGGAAGAAAGACAGGAACCCTGCCTGGGTTGTTATAGCCACGTAGCAGCAAAACCAGACCAAGAATCCCAGGTCTTCAGAACCTGTGCATTCTAGCAAAGCACTTTGCATTGAACTTGAAATTATTTGTCCAGAGAGGTGCAGCAATTCTAGTGAAGAAGGTGGTTCTGGATTACATTTAGCTCTTTTTTGGTCCAGTTTGCCAACATTGACCTGTGTTGTCTTTGCCTCCCTGGTGCACCCCAATTAGCTGATTGCCATTGCAACAGGAGGACGGATTGTCCCTCGATTCTCAGAACTCACAGTTGAGAAGTTGGGCTTCGCTGGTCTGGTACAGGAGATCTCATTTGGCACGACTAAAGACAAAATGCTGGTCATTGAGCAGTGTAAGAATTCCAGAGCCGTAACCATCTTCATTAGAGGAGGAAATAAGATGGTAAGAGTCAGGTTGTTTGTCCTGGATTTCCTGATTTTGGTACATGGTTTGGCTTTTTTGCCTTGTTTTTTCCAACTATAATACCATTACCATTAATCATGATGCTCAGTTACAGTGTAAAATTACTAACGATAGTGTTAACAAGGCCTTTTTGCTGTCCCTTTGGTGGGAACAAGAAACCTATATAAATAACCATTAACAATCTCTGTTCTTCAAGAATAAATTTTTAGCACATTGTAATAAATGCAAATCAATGTTTTACCTCATAAAAGAGTATCTGAATATGGTAACATACCCTCACCATGTGTTTTAACATGGATGGCTCTAATAAGGAACTGTTAAGACATATTTCAGTACCCAGCAAACTCTTAAGCAAAACTAGATATTTGGCTCTAAATGAATAGACCTTGATCCCATTAATTGACACAGAACTTTTCCCTAGATCATTGAAGAAGCAAAACGGTCTCTCCATGATGCTTTGTGTGTCATCCGGAACCTCATCCGTGATAACCGTGTGGTGTATGGAGGAGGTGCTGCTGAAATATCTTGTGCTTTGGCAGTTAGCCAAGAAGCAGATAAGGTAAAAGACACAAAAGATTTAAACTAGAGGTTTGTGGTATGCGTAAGAGTAAGGCTGTGGAACAGAAGCATCGTGAGCTTCATGAGTGTTTAACCTTAGTTCATTCACATGACTTACTTACAAGCTCCAACTCACATCACCATAACACTAGCATTACTTGGCCATTTTTGATCATTACAAATCAGTATTTCTAACTTAAAAATAAAACAGTGAGACCTGCTTTGTTGTAAAAACATTTCTCGGACAAGTGTTTTATAATCCTCACTCTTATTCTGTAAAAACTTCTGTTCTGGTCAGTGAAAAAAAATCAAGACAACTTATTCAACTCTTTAAAAGTAGTCTTTTCAAAGTATATAATAATATAATTGTTTGCAGATTACTGCTGGATGGTATTGGTTGGGTCTGGTTTTTTCCAAATGCGCTTACTATACCCTTGTGCCCTTCCAGTGTCCAACCTTGGAGCAGTATGCCATGAGAGCTTTTGCAGATGCATTGGAGGTCATCCCCATGGCCCTTTCTGAAAACAGTGGCATGAATCCCATCCAGACCATGACTGAAGTCCGAGCTAGACAAGTAAAGGAGAAGAACCCTGCTCTTGGAATTGACTGTTTGCACAAGGGTACAAATGGTGAGGAACTGTCATGATTCTTTGTGTGGAGCTTTAAGTTGAAGAATAATGTTACTGTTCAGTATGTTATGTACGCTATGAGATTTATCATCTTTTTAAATACTTAAACACGCTTTGGCTATTAGTCCTGGATTTTAGAATGTTTTAAACTGTAAGAGTTGGTTAGCCCTAGCAACGTGAAACTCATTACAGTAACCATAAGATATGATATGGAATTTCTAAGGATGGCATATCTTAATCTCTGCTTTTAAAAAATAATTGCCTTCCTTTTTAACACAAATGTCTTATCAGTGAGTTCTGGATGTCATAAAACAGCTCTGAAATGGACTTCTAGTTCACAGCTTACTGTGTGGTTATATGCCCTTAGACAAGTGAATGTTTTGTAAACCAGTGCACGGGAACTTCTCTTGCTGTTGAACAGGTGGAGAACTTTAGCTTGTTGCATCATTGGTCTCATGATTTCTGTCTGATCAGGCCATAACTGGATTCTTGCAATCAGTCCCAACCACATAATGTGACAGTTTTACATAGAAGTATAGGTATATTTCTGTTTTTCAGGCTCAACATGCCAGGGATTTTAGTAACAATAACTCCTTGGCAGACAAGTATTTAATGTTTTTAACTTGAAGGACTGTGTGTATTAATATTAAGCATTTCTAGGAAACATTCAGATACCTTCAAGATGTACTAAGTTGAGTTGTGGATGCTTTGTAGGATGCAGTGTTGCTGATGATTTCTTTTCAGTAAGTTACTGAGAATCCTGTCCCCTTGCAACTGTTAACCAGATTCAAATTCCAGAATGTCCTTGGGAGTAATGAAATTCATCTGAAAATTAACTGAGATTAATGACCACTTGGGCACCACAGTTTGATTTGGATTTTTTTGTTCTTGTTTTGTTCCATTTGGTTGAGTTTGATTTTGAGATGAGGTCTCGCTGTGTACAGCCCACTAGGCCTCAAACTTTTGAAGTCAGGGGATCCTCCTATTTCAGCCTCCCACTAGCTGAGACTACAAATGTACAGCACCACACCAGCTGTATTTAAGTTTCACTGTGATTTCATAAATTTAAGCTGCTTATTGGTTGGCTATGTATGCTGTTTTGGGGTAATTGATTTACTTTATTTTTCAGATATGCAACAACAACATGTCATAGAAACCTTGATTGGCAAAAAGCAACAGATATCTCTTGCAACACAGATGGTTAGAATGATTTTGAAGATTGATGACATCCGTAAGCCTGGAGAATCTGAAGAATAAAAATTTAAAAGTTTAGAATAAAATGTAGTAGCAAGATTTACTACTGTGATTAAATAAATGGGTGTCTTGTGATGCAGCTACAGTTATTTATTATCACTTCCCTTTTTCAGATACTGTAGATGCTATAATAAAAATAGTTGTTTGGTAACCATGGTTTCACTTGTTCAGAGCTGTGTAATTGTAGGGATACTGTCTCACAAGCTTTGTATTCATTAAAGAGATCTCTTTAAACATAATCTTAATCTTCTTCAAGAAACATTTAGTGTACCATTAATTAAAAGCTGCCTTAATTGAAGGGGTTTGAGTATATTTTTTTTCCCCAGAGAAGCTGTAGAAACTATTTCAACAAGTTTAAACATTGCATTTGTTCATGGGATACATTACAGCATTAAGACGAGTGTGGGCTTGATCTGATTCCTCATCGTAGATGAGTATTCCAGCATCTAAAGTCCTGTTAACTGGGTTACAGTAGCACAAGTGGGTACTTTTTCATGGTGCTGATAAGACCAGTGGTAAAGGATTTAATGCTCTTGTTGTCCCCTTTGCTTGATTTTGGTCCTGGTCACAGTCCAACATGCAAAATCAGAACCAGTGTGGGCAGTTGTACCACCAGCAGAGGCTTAGAAGACAGTTCAGATTTTAAAAAGAGCAAAATTAATTGAGATTAGGACTCTTTGGCTCTAGTGGGCCTTGCAATTGCCAGGTATAATAGACTGGTATTAATTCTACTTTGTAAAAACAGCCACAGCCCTTCATAAGGACTAGACCTTGATCTGAGAATTTCACCTGGGTTGTCTCAGCTCTCAACCCAGTCTTTGGTGTTCTGCATCTCATTGCAAATAAGAGAGGCAATCTGTTTAAAGTTCCCATCTTATCCCCTATTTTGTTCCTACTTGTATTTGGTTCCCAATGTTTTCTAAAAGGCTTCTGTTCAGAGTCATTATGGTAAGAGTTTACTTATATGCCACCAGTGGGAGAGAATATGCTGAATTAAATCCCATAGAATTAAACTGGATTCCTAAATGGCCTAAGTAACATTCAGGTTTGTGAGCCCAGACACTAGCTATTGGGTGTTCATGTTCTCTCTATTAAGGACTTTTAGTACTTGGCTAAATAATCTGTGGATTTAGGAATAAGTGTTAGCATTCATAAGTTTGGTGTGTAGAACTGCAGTTGGGTATAAAGCATTATTAAAATTTGCACCACACATTCTGGGTACACACTGGAATGCAAATCAAATCAGACCTGCCTGCCTAGCAATCAAATTTTTGTATACTAATCATGGAGACTCAACTACCTGCCCACGTCTCACCAGATACCTTGACAGGTATTAACAAACCAGCACATCTCAGGTCTTGGGAGACTGGATGAATGAGAAAGGTGTCCTAAGCACCCAGTGTGTAAGGCTGTAACTAAGTGTCTGCAAACAGTCTGTGCTCTGACTTTAATGCTCAACCTAATGCAAAATGTTTTCTCATCCCCATTTGGTAAGATGTAAAACAGGCCCAGAAAAGTCAAGTGTAGTGAACTTAGGATTTTACGTTGTCTCCACATCTGCTCCGTGTAGATTCAATAATAGGCCAGAAGCCAGGCTGAGTTGCTTTTGACAATTTCTAGTGCTTCATTCCCCGGTTCCTCAGTGGTCATTCTGGACTTATATCTCACACAACCAGCTCCCTATGGGACAGCTAGAAACCTATGTGACTCACCTCACTGACTCCTACACCCCATGTGAACTGTGCACATCTGCCAGTAAGCTGTCAGTCAAAATTCGACCCCACATAACTCAAGCCTGTTTGCTCTAAATCCACCAGTTAGAATTCCCTGTGAGAAGCTGCTTGGGTAACACTGGAACCCCGTGAAGGCTTCAACCCACAGGCTCCTCACCGGCTCTTGTGATCTGCACTGGTTGGCTGGGCATGCATGTCCTGGACGGCTCCCCACTGCCTTCGGCTCTGCGAGGCATGCTACCCCTGTTTCCAGGATCTGTTGGTAATGCTGCTTCTGGTATCCAGTGCTTTATTGAACAGTTCATTGCCTCTGTCATCTACTGACTGAGCCTAACTGCCCTCCGGATCAGCACTCTCCTTCCTAGAGGAACACCATCTCAGTAGTAAGCAGGACACTGTCATGTGAGAGCCCGAGAACACAGGTCAGACAGGTATGCATGAGGTCATCCAGCAAGGGCACAGGAACCTATCTGTAGTCCCTACTACTACAGGCTGAGACAAGATGATCACTTGAGCCCAGGAGTTCAAGGCCAGCCTGGGCAACATAGGAAAACCCCGTTCCCACCCCACCCCCCAAAAAAAGTGTCCTGTGAAAGGCACACTGAAAACATCTGTGACCAAGACCTCTGGAGCTGGGTAGAGTTTATTGCCACTTCCATGAAAGAGACCCAAGACCAAATTAGAAAACAACCCAACATGTCATTTGCCCTAAGTCATAACAGTCCTGAGGAGGAGCAAGTACACACTAGGGACTTCACTCTCCACCATCACAGTAAGCCCCAGCCCCAGGGTCAGGAAACCACTGCCTAGAAAACTGCAGGATGGTTACTCTACTCCATCATTCTGTTTAGAAATAAACTAGTCACAGAGAATCAAGAGTCTAAAGCCAGCCTCTGCAACCCAGAGACATCAAAGTCAGTTTATTAGCTTGATATAGTTCGATCCATGGGAACATTTTAATTATAACACTTCTCATTACAACATAAATGTGACAAATTCAGTTCTCTTAAGACAAAGTCCAAGTGTATCTTACTCTGCCCCAGCTCACAGTTAAGTTTCTTCACACCTTAGTCATTTTAAAGGATGTGTTCAGTTAAAGACCAGAGAGGCCACACTTGTGCTCCCAGCTGGTTCCCTGGAGAGCCCAAGTGTTTTCTAATAGCTAGGGTATTGATCATTCAGATTCTCCAGGTACAGAACTATTTTTTATTTATTTTTTTTATTTCATTTTTATTTTTTATTTAAACATGTTAAAATTATTTTCATATATTAACATTTTCCACTGAATGCATTTTAGATTATATAAAATAAATGTTGGAATCCTGAAATTATTTAAAGTAAAAAAAATCAAATGGTAAGTATTGGAAGGCAACCGTTTGGATGAATCTTGTTTTGAGAGTGTACCTGTTTACTACTAAATGTACTTGTTCAGCCACTCGATTAAATTCCTTCTCGCCTCATCAATGTAAGGCTTGTCAGCAGGTAGACAATCTTCTCTCTTGCGATGCACAAAACCATGGGTTTGCCCAGAAAATGTTTTAATTTGATATTCAACCTTGCAGTGTTCTTTCAACTTCTGCGTCAGCAAAGAGACCTAGTATGCAAAACATTTTTGTGATGCCGTGATTTTAACTTGTTAGCAATATTTTTCATTCTCTAAATCTTCAGTGAGTGTTCATAAAAGAGATTTAACATCAATTCTTTAAATTGTAAACGAGTTCCACAATTATTCCAAATTTTAACTATAATTTATAATTAACACAATTCTTGCTGCTGGCAAAGATTTTGGAGCAATATAAATATGATACAACAGCAATTACAGGCTTATATGGAATCATGTCCAAATAAACACATCATGAATTGAAAATGTGGGAGGCTAGGGGTAGAGTACAATGGTGAAGTATTTGCTTGGCTGTGCAATCCTCCTGCCTTAGCCCTCCTTAGCCACTGGGATTTCAGGTGAGCATCACCACACCTGGCATAATTCTACTCTTTTTTTTTTTTTTTTTTTTTTTTTTGGTGTTAGGGATTGAACCCAGGGCCTTGTGCATGTGAGGCAAGCACTCTACCAACTGAGCTATATCCCCAGACCCACTACTCTTAATCTCTGGTAAAACTCATCTTTTAAAAATGTCTATGTTGGAAAACATCTGGAACAGCAATTAATGAATGCTTTGAGACTTCTCCCTCAAAATGTCAAGACCTGCTCTTAAACACACAAGTGAGAAGAGGAAAGGTGCCAACTTACTTGCTCCAGGGGAATCACAGCATCATTTTCAGCAAAAATGAACAACGTGGGGTTCTTTAAACTGTAAATATCTTCAGAATCCTTGACGATACCTGAAAGATGGATTCAGGGGCATGAGACTATGATTTCCACAGTCACGCCACAGAAAACTGCCTCAATTTGGTTTGATTATTCAAAGTAAAAATGTATTTGGGGGGCTTTGTGTATTTTTTTAGCAGTTCCACAGTAGTGGCCTGGCCTACACAATTAGTGTAACAGGGTGACTCTTCCAGCCAGACCTGGCCCTCCGGCTCACTCACTAGAAGTGAAGCCATCAAGGTGTGGAATCAGGCCTTGCAGGCTGCTCCGTGAAGACGCAGAGGGTCTAACGAGTATCCCTCCTGGGATGTGCCTTCACTTGCACAGAAGTGAGAGCTGCCAAACCACTGTTCTGGAACTTTCCCTCTGCCCACCCAAGTCCCACAGGTTCTGACTTCAATGCACTGGGTGGTTTGGAATGGGCCTTTACGCTCAGACAAGCCCACAGCCTGCGACTGCCTGGTCCTAGCAAGTCATTCTCTGAAAAATTAGTTTTCCTCCTTGACTCAGAAGGTTAGAAACTGATCAGTCAGAAGCATGCTCCGCCAAGCCCAGGGGTTCTAGACAACCCTCCGGAACACCCGCTTCTATGGAGAAAGAAGTCAACCTAAGTAATCATTTTAAAAGAGAAAAAAATTAATCTTTTTCAACTTCCTGACAGCAGCACAGCAAAGCTATGTGGCTGGACAGCAACTGAATGTCCCCTGGACTCGCCCCCACCAGGCTCAGCAGCTCACGTACCTCACAGCAGCAGCCAGGAGGTGGCGCCAGTGAGGCGTCCACACAAGCACCTTCTGCTAATTCACACAAAGGCACCTTTGGGCCTAACAAGAGGTGGCCCGGTGCTCTAGCCCAACTGTTCATTTACTGAGTCTGCTTTCTTTCATAGAAGTTAATATTTAAAGAGTTTTTTTAAATGCCAAATGTAGGTGAAAATACTACAGTGAGGAACCATTAAGCCAAATAAGAATCATTGGTACAGGTATTACTTCATGACACTCTGATGTAAAGAACTTGGTGACACACTAGTATAATTTGATGACTTTACTAGTCAAATTTCCTTGTGTCTTTATATTTTTTTTTCCAAAATATTTTAGTCTCAATGCTTTTTTGGGTAGGAGTGGGGGACAGGTACTAGGAATTGAACTCAGAGGTGCTTGACCACTGAGTTACATATCCAATACTTTTTTTATTTTCGTTTTGAAACACAGTCTCACTGAGTTGTTGAGGGTCCCAGGA